CTTGAAAAACAAGATATAGAATTCTTAGGTATGTATATTAAGTCAGGAACCATACAATTACAAGAACACATAGCTAAAAAAGTGTTAGAATTTCCAAATAAGTTAGAGGATAAAAAGCAATTACAAGAATTTTTAGGTTTATTAAATTATGCTAGAAGTTTTATCCCTGATTTAGGAAGAAAGATTGCAGCAAAACCAGTAAAACAGGACAAAAACATTTTAATAGTGAAGATATTAAGTTAGTTCAAAGCATAAAACAAGATATAACCCAACTTAAACCATTAGCATTACCATTAGATAATAATTACAAAATAGTTGAAACAGACGCATCATCAATAGGATGGGCATGAATTTTATATCCAAAGAAACATAAAGAAGAACCAAAATCAGAAGAAAAAGTTTGTAGATATGCATCAGGAAAATTTAATGATATACAGGCTAGACTTCCAACTACTGACTTAGAAATATTAGGAGTCATTAATTCTCTTGAAGCATTTTCATTATTTTTACATAATGAAATATTTACTATTAGAACAGATTGTCAAAATATTGTTTCTCATTATAATAAAATTACTACTAATAAACAAGCAGCCCGAATATGGGTGAATTTTGTTGATTCTATTACAGGAAATGGATTTAGACCGATATTTGGAGCATATTAAAGGTATGGATAATACTTTAGCAGATATCTTATCTCGTATTATTCATTAACATGTATGCAGTATTTGGACCATCATCATCTGGCAGCAAAAATAATGGTACACCATCACTAGGTGGTAATCCATTAAGCATAAGTAATCAAGCACGATAAGTAGCAAATACTTATTTTTATAATGGAATTTCTGTACAAGAAGTTAGAAATCCTGCTTTAAAGTATCGTACTCAAGCATCATTAGCAGAAAAACAAAAAGTTCTTTTAGATAACTTTTGAAATATTAGAACTAATACTAAAAGCAGGAGAAGAGGGCATGAAAAGCTTATTAGAGCCCTTGAGCAAGAGTTTTTAGCATATAATTATGATTATAAAATAGCAAAACAACACCTTTCTTTTTTGCAAGAAAAATATGTAAAGCAAAAAAGGGAATATGATACAATAGTTAAGCATTTTAGAATCATTAATTTAAGATGTCAAATTCTACAAGAAGAGGCTAATAAGCCCACCGTAATTGAGCATAATTTAC